CTGGGCCACAGCGCGAGAGGAGACCGAGGAGGAAGAGGAGATGGGGGGAGGACCGGTGGGTCCGAACTTTGAGGTACGCGCGGACCGTTTGTATAGGGTAGACGAAGGGGGGGGGAGCAAGCCTCCCGACGGCAGCTACTCGTACCCCGCCGGTACCGGTACCGCCTCATGGAGGCGGCCCACGCCAACCCTTGAGCGGGCCACCTGGGACAGGAGAAAACAGTGAAGCGGTTATTACAACACTTCTACTGGCCCGGGGTGTACCGCGAGGTACGGGATTTTTGTGAGTCATGCCCGGAATGCCAGAAGGCGGGACCCCGAAATGTACCAGTACACCGGGAGGTGCCGCGCAAACCCCAGGGAAACCCCCGAGTATTCCGGGGACCCCGCGGGTACAGTGGGAAATGCTAATTACGTTGCTCATCATATCTGTCCTTTTCTCACTATCTCTCTGAAATTCATGGGTGTAAAACTAAAGCTCTGTATACATACGTAATTCAATAGAAGGAATATAAAAATCAAGTCCGAAGTGATTACAATTTAAAATGTCACCATATGCCAACACTTAGTTACTGTGCAGTGGTTCTCTAGACACTGCAGTTGTTTCCTCTTTTAATTATAAAAGAACTTTGTACCGCGATAGTACTGTGTCTTAGACAACGCTGAGTAGCGAGGGTTGGAAAATGTTGGTGTTTTAGTGGCAACTGCTGTACAAAATGAAGAGGCTTATTGATAAGGGACCAGAGCAGGGGATGGGTTTAAAAAGGAGCACTGTTTGGGTTATAGATGTGGGCAACACTGACTCAAGTTTGAAGAGTGAGCCCTGTACGTGTTCAAAATTTTTATATACAGAAACTTGAATATCTGCATAGACATCTGCACACGTGGTTACCTGTGGCTATAAAGCAGATTTGCAGGGCTCTAGATACATATTTAATCTACATCCATATCCTCAAAAATACACTGTGGATATAAAGAGGATTTCTTCATATTTGCAGGGGTCTACTTGAAGACCTAATGCATAATCCAGATGTTACAATAATTTGTTCTTTAAGAAAATTTCTCCTGTTTTCTATCAAAACCCTTCACTCTTTTTTGACATTACACATCTCACCTCTGCCTACACAATGCATCTTGATTGCACAACATTTCTTAGTGGTAAAGTCAATTTGTGTGAATGAGCTGAACTCCAGTGGGTTACATGTGTAAAATCACCATGAAATGACCCATTGCCTTCACCAAGACTCTAATGACCTCTTCCCAGCTAAGTATCCATGACATTGCTCCGTGCTTTCTCCCCCTTGGCCTGCAAAGACACTGTGTATGTGTGCCATGATTATGTCCTAAGTACGTAAGATATTTGATCAAGCAAAGAAACTGTTTTCTAAATGATTAGCCACTTTTAAAAAATAGAGTATGTTGCTTAATTCAGGATTTCCTCTGCCAGAAGTTTTCTTTCAAATTAGAATTAATAGAGAGGCCAAAATCTACTTAAGTTGATGTATCATTTTAAAATTTTCCACTCATCTCTGATACTGTTAGGATATAGCTTGAATGTTTCACAAGTAAGTATTTTTCACAAATTTGATATGGCAGGGTTTAGAAATTGTCATTTATAATACTAAAAATAAAAGACTTCTTTTAGGCCTCTGCTTTTTAAAAAGCCAACATACTGTGCTTTCTTGTCAGTATTAAACTAGGCCATGTATTTTCTCTCTCTCTCTCTCTCTCCAAAAAGATTTTTATATGTTTATAGGAGGAAGTCCAGTTTCATACTTGCAGTTGTTGGCATCTTTCATCAAGGGAGAGAACCAATAAAAACACATGTTCTTTTAAAGAACATCTATTTTTATTGGACCCTTCTAAAAACCAATGACACAGGAAGTCAAAAAATGTTGGCTGAAATGAGTAAAAGGGCCACATTGTTTAAAACTCCTTTATATATTCCTTCCGGACAGCAAAAACTTTGTTTACATAGAAATTTCAGATGCTCTTGATCTTTGTGGAAAAAAAAAGTTTTATTTTAGTAGAATATTGTAGCACAGTATGATGCATATAGCATAAAATAACTTTATAAAATGTACATTTTAGTACTAACTTTGTAGAAAGTTATGATTTTTATGTTCTGTGCAGCATTAACATATAAATAAAAGATTTTCACTGTGACAACAGTTCTTCATAGACAAGGCATAGCTACGTGCTATTTCCTGGACTGCTGGAAATAAATTTGATTTGCAATGTACTTGTAAGAGATTTGTTTAATGAATTATTTTAAATGAAGTAGTTGATTTGTGCCTTCTTTTTGGGTGACTCTATCATTTTCTTAATTAGTTAATTTACATGTTCTCCTATGATGCACAAATTAAGTCACAAACTTCATTTTGGTTTTGTTGTTGTTGTAGTTGGTTGGTTTGTTTGCTTGTTTGTTTTTCGAGCTATCCGTAAAACAGATTCTAGCAACACTGGACCTGATTTTCTATTATCAAAGTTTGTAGTGAAAATGAGATCCTTTTATCCACTTAAGATAGGAAAGTTCACATCTAGTATAGTTAAATCAATCAAACAGTTGAAATTGATGTAAATGTAATTCTTCCAGCTGATTTGATGTGTGTGCATGCATGCTTTGCTCTGCTTCTCTTCAACTTGCCTGCTTAACTGGTGAGTAGGCAGGATAATGTTAGAATCTTGTTGTCTTTGTGTATGCCCATATCGTGCCTTCACAAAAGTGGAACAAGTAGAGTAAAGTAAGATTATGAAGGCCTGCAGTTGTGCAAAACATCAGGCATGTGAGGTTTTCTATTGAATTGTCTAAAAACTAGTTTTATTATTACCAATGTACCAGTGTCATTTTCGGAGTCAGAAGGACAGTGTGAATAAAAATGTATGATTAATTTTTTGACTGATCTCCTTGAGTTACCCCTTTGTGTTTTAAGTGTCACTGGTTCTATTATTATACCATTTAAGCGATTTCTCAAGACACAAGATTTTTTTTAAAGGAAGGCATTTTTGAAAGGTTAAAATGGCATTTTTGCTGATGTTGCTATTTAAAACTCAGGATTCATAATGAGTGAACTAACTGATTTTTAAAACTTTAGTGTTATGAATCTGCATGCTAGCGAAACTGTACTGATGTATACATGAATTTAATTAGAATTGATTCAGAGTTGTTGGACTTATTTTCATGCCACCTTATTTCTCACCCATTTGTTATGAAAAGGCATTTTAGGGCATGATTTGTGGTGCTGTTTTCTGTAAAATAAGCATTAAAATTATATTCAGTAGTTGGACCATTGCTTTATACAAATACAGACAGACACAAATCAAATACATGAAAAATATCATCTGAGCCTTAGGCCTTAACAAGAAAAAAAAACTATCATCCATCATGGTGCACTTTAGCAGATTTTTTTTATTACTTTTTCTCCTTTGTTGTTTACTATAAAAATGAAGCAGCTCCGATTCAGTTAGTACAATACACACTGTCATTTGTTTGAGAGAATGTACTAGTCCCAGAAATATTTCCTCTTTTTTAAAAAGAACAAATTCTTTAGAGCTAGTAGTAACTTTTCTGAGCTCAGGTTTCCTATGCACATGCGCAAAATAGACATCCAGATACTTCATTTGGGTGCTTAGATCGGCCCTTAGTTGCCCATTTTCAGCAACTGCCATTGTTTGGATACCCATGTAAGCCTGGGATTTGGCATCCAGTTTTGATGCCAATGTTTGGTAATGGGCCCAGAGTCCATTATTTGTCATCAAGAGTTTAAAGAAGGAAATAAAATAGTGTTGGAAAATGAACTTTTGGATATAGCTTTAAAATGTTACTAGACTCGTTGGCTGGTAGTCTTCTGGTTTGTTCCATTTGCTCTTTTAAACATTGAGGCTCCCTTGCTTGGTGGTGCTGCATCATGACAGTTTATGCATTTGCTAGGAAATCCGATCCTTATGTAGCTTCCAAAATAAGCCAGGGTTATAAACTATCTGTTCATGGTAATATTGTTTGTGTTTAAATGTTTTGTTTTGAGATCACAGTGCTAGCAGCCATTATATCATTTACCTTTGTCCCTTTTTCTCCCTGTCTGTTCTGAATATTCAGCAGAATGTGTTCATCATCTTTGAATATTCAGATTCGGTGTCATCAAGCTTTCAGTAACACATGGAATCTTCATCTCTCCTTCCCCTTTCCCTGTTTTTATAAGATTTTTTTTTTATTTTTTTTTTTTTGCTAACTATTAATTACTATGGTAAACCAGAGTAGCTGGGTTTTGCCACTCATTGCTATCTTGAAAACAGGTAACAGGGTAACTCTGCTTTTGGGCACCAATTTAAATATCCTAAATATATTGGCATTTAAAATTTGTTATTGCAGTTAACTCCTTTAGGTGTTTGTGAACATACTCAGAATAGGAAAAATTAAAATTTTCTACCCCGTTCTTGATTTTTTTTAATCAACTTGTTAAAATAAACATTTAAAAAACAGCAGCACCTTCTCAGATCTAGTATACACTTGGGAATGGATGTAGTCTCTGAGTATTATTAATATGTATATTTCCCCACTAAAGAGTGAGGCGTTTCGTAAAGGTATACACTTTTCTCTTATTCGGTTACATTTAAATATATAATGGGACAAATTCTGCTCTGCTATGCTGGTGCATCTGAGACCAGAATTTGGCTCAAGTGTCATATTTATTTGTGAATATTTAAATATTATTTGGTACAGTTTGTCGATATACTTTACTTAATACACTAGTTTTGGAATAATTGGATCAGAACAAGATAATGAATAAAAGATTGAAGTATGTGTGTGTGTGTGTGTATATATATATATATATATATTATAGCTCTAATACGATTTCATCTCTTAGATTACAACTTGCTTTTGTTTGAAGCTTTATCCTCTGAAAAAATGGTGGTGGTATTATTTACATTAATTCATTTGGCTTCTTGGAAAAAAATATGCCCCAGCTCCTTTACTTAATGGAATTCTTTCCTCGTTGCAGTGCAAACGGCTGGAGCAGGAGCTTCATCATCTGAAAGAGCAGAACCAGACTTCAGCAAACAACACGAGACATCTGACTGCTGAAAACAATCAAGAACGTGCTCTGAAGGTAAATCTCTGTTCCTTCTTGCAGGCAAATTAAGGTTGTAAGCCAATGGTGCCAGCTTTCTGTGCTGCATATCTCAGTTGTGTACATTTCGGCAGAAGTGAGCTGTGGTGTTTGCCAACAACCCCTTCTTTAAACACAGATATAGCACCCTTCTGTTATGGTATTATTTTATTTTGTGTGTTGTGCAAAAACAACATGAATGAAATAATATATTCTCCAAATCGATGAGCAGTGTTGTGATAACAAGCACTAGATTTGGGTTTGGTTCTGTCTTTGCAATATTGTATTTTTCAAATGTGTAAAAAATTGCAGCTGTTGGTCTGAACTACACAAAACTAACATTTTAAAGCATGTCCTTCCATCTGCTCACAGCAGCACCTGTTATATTAATAACAATATTGACCTATACTACTAGTGCCCACACAGTTGATACTATTATTTGTAAAAGAGTAGTTTATTTCCATTGGAGTTGGGAAAAATAATAGTAAGCTTTGTTAATAAGAATAAAAATTAGAAAGGGGGCAGAGAAGAGACTATGAAAAGATTTTATATGGTTTTTCTATTTTGATTTGAGAAAGTGGAATTGTGATGTTGTTGAAAATGGTACCTATCTAACTTCACACACCATTATATGCCAGCGTAAGAAAATGCCCAATTAAGATGCAAAAACTTGTGTGTATGTTCAACCAATAAAATGTTCAGAAATCTATTTCCTGCCGATGTGCAAAGGAACAGTAGAAGCCAGTTTTCCTCCATCTCTTTAATCTTGCCCCTTGAAAATTGTGGGGTTTTTAGGCAAAAGGAAACAAACATAGCTCATTTATAGTCAAGCGTTGCCCTGTCCCTTTGGTTACTCTTGCAAGCATGAGAGAATTGGCATTCTTGGTTGGTTGATTAGATCTGTGCAAGATAACTCATCTCAGTCTGATGGGTTTTCTTCTCTCTTTAAACCTTGATCACTTTCACGCTGCAACAAAGAAATTAAAAGTTGGCCTCTCTGTTGACAGTAGGCTGATCCACAGTTGGTTACTATGGAATGCTCAGAAAGCACTTATGTGCGGAGAAATTGGAGTCAGGTCCTCAAGTAGGACTATCAGGTAACTTATATACCTCTTGTTTAGCTATTCCTTCATTTACTACAAAAAGAAGCTGTAGTGCTTTATCACGGTGGATATAGTGTTGAATTTTCTGAGCAGATTCCACTTAGTTTCTAAAAATTATGGATATAATATTGCATACATATATATTTGTACATGCAAACATTCAGATTTGCATGTTGGAATAAGAATAGATGTTGCAAACACGAATCCAGCTTCTTGCATGAACAGAACATTGGCCATATAAAACTGAATGTGCATAAATTTAGTAACCAAAAATTGCTATTCAGTTTTTTTTTTACCATTTTTGCAAAAAGCTTAATTAACTAAAGGAAAAAAATCTTTGTTGTATGAACTAAAAATAAATGCCAAGAGTTCCATGAGTTTAAGGTTGCCAGTAAATCTCTGCTGAATATTGCAAAATGAAGTGTGTATATCAAAAGTAGTACAACCTTGTTCAGGGTAACTAATGGACATCACATAGAGAATTTTTAGGCCCTACGGTCATTTATGATCACAGTAATGCAGGTGCCTTGAATCTGGAATTGCCAAAAGCTAGTTTTTGACAAGTATTCTATTGATGGCAAATATTAATGTTGAAAAGATTTTAAGTAATTTTCCATAATTGTATTTACTTATTTAATGTCATTCAATAGTTGCCAGAGAGTCTTTCCATCAGAAAATAATATTTTATTTAAATTATACTTTTTCCATTTAATATTATCTGAAGTGATGGTTACTATATAATTTTATTTTCAGAGCCACAGGGATGACCTAATAGTTCAGGTGGCAACTAGATTTATATTTAATTCTGATATTGTTGAGCCAGCATCCAGTCCTCAAAGAATTTTAATTCTGCCTGGCCTTTCTCAGAAATGTTTTTGCAAAGTTAGAGGTCAATTGGCCAACTTGTTTTTGAGATATGAATTGTGGAAGGCTTTTCACTTTTGGAAAAGCTGTACTTCTGAGGGGGTTATATTATACCTCCTGAATATTTTGCAGTGAGTCCAGATGTGTTATATTTTGTTGTCCCTGGAGAAGACCAGTCCGTCTGAGTACTTTTGAAAAGTTGGGTGATTAATTTAAATGAAATGACATAATGTTTATATAATTTCTTCTCCTGCAACTGCTTTCCTCTAGCCACTGCACTCTTGTCCACCTGCCCCTATGGCTATTAGCACCAGGGCTTGCTGTGACAGAGTTTTCACACACATTCTGCGGGGAGGCAAAGCATGACTAGGGATGTTGAGTGTATTTGAATACACGATTAACCAATAAGCCTAGGCTTATCAGTTAATCATGGACAGGGGCTGCTGTCACCCAGCATTGCTGCCGCTGTATCAAAGTCAGCAGTATGGGGTGGCAGGCAGGAGCCAGTCTGTGAGGGGAGCTGTTTTTAAAATCAGCTCCCCTTGTGGACCGTCTCTGCCTGTTAAAGAGGCAGCAACGTGAAGTGCTTGGGGGCTCCCCGACCATGGGGCCGGGAGCGCACTGGTTGCCAGCCTTACTCCCAGGGACAATCAAATAGTCGTGTAACCACTAAAATTTGATGCAGTTAAACTATTCAATTAATCACTATCTAATATCTAACATCCCTACTGAAAACATTCCCCTGCCCCTTTCTTGTTCCCAGCCACTGTTGGTACACTTCCAACTGTGACCATATGCCTTCACCACACCTACCATCATTCCAAATCTAAGAGCCCCTTCGCATCAGCCAAAAAAGCAACACCCTCCCAACCATTCCAACTCCTACTATCCCACTTTAATCCAGGGAAACAAATTTACTTCATCCACTCTCTTATACTGTGTGGCATGATTCATGACAGTGAGTGCCAACCTCAGGGAAGAGTGTCAAAAAGCAGGACAGATGCCCCAAATTGGTATGTTGTGAACTCCTGAAGAACTATAACAGTCTTACCATGGAGTCACTAATAGTCCCTATCTTGCCACCCAGCCTAATTGGACTTAGTGATAGTTGGTTACCATATATCAAAGATTTGCAAAAGATTCCATTTGCTTCCAGTCCCAAAAGTCCAGTCAGTAATCTCAAGTCAATATTTGTACCTTAGATGTCATACCAAAGACAAAACTTACGGCCTATCCTTTAATAAACTAGGAAGAAGAAATGAGAGTTATGTACAGGTTAAAGTAGGCAATTTATATACATAAGTGAATTACAATGTATGGTTCCAAAGAGTGACAGAATTGTATTACTCTTCCAGTACCGAATATGTTAAGGGTTAACCCTAGGGATCTCTGCTTCTGTTTCCTAACTCCTGCCCTGTGATTAAAAAAGAGAGAGAGAGAGAAAATGTTCTTGTCCCTGTTTTATCCCTGTCTTTTAGCATTTAAGCCGATGAGACAGACTTTCTTACATGTACAGGCAGTCCCCGAGTTACGCGGATCCGACTTACGTCAGATCCGCAGTTACGAACGGGGCCGTCTCCCTCCTCTCCAGCAGACCAGGGAGAGGAAGCAAAGCGGCGGAGCACGCGGGCAGCGGACAGCCCAGACGCACTGCTGCCCGCGTGTTGCACCGCTTTCCTGTCCGCTGCCCGCGTGCTCCGTGGCTTGGCTTTGCTTTGCTTTGCTCCCCATCTCCCTGGTCTGCAGACCACAGGGACGGGGAGCAAAGCGGCGGAACACGCGGGCAGCGGACAGCCCAGACGCACTGCTGCCCGCGTGTTGCACCGCTTTCCTGTCCGCTGCCCGCGTGCTCCGTGGCTTGGCTTTGCTTTGCTTTGCTCCCCATCTCCCTGGTCTGCAGACCACAGGGACGGGGAGCAAAGCGGCGGAACACGCGGGCAGCGGACAGCCCAGACGCACTGCTGCCCGCGTGTTGCACCGCTTTCCTGTCCGCTGCCCGCGTGCTCCGTGGCTTGGCTTTGCTTTGCTTTGCTCCCCATCTCCCTGGTCTGCAGACCACAGGGACGGGGAGCAAAGCGGCGGAACACGCGGGCAGCGGACAGCCCAGACGCACTGCTGCCCGCGTGTTGCACCGCTTTCCTGTCCGCTGCCCGCGTGCTCCGTGGCTTGGCTTTGCTTTGCTTTGCTCCCCATCTCCCTGGTCTGCAGACCACAGGGACGGGGAGCAAAGCGGCGGAACACGCGGGCAGCGGACAGCCCAGACGCACTGCTGCCCGCGTGTTGCACCGCTTTCCTGTCCGCTGCCCGCGTGCTCCGCCGCTTTGCTTCCTCTCCCTGGTCTGCTGGAGAGGAGGGAGACGGCCCCGTTCGTAACTGCGGATCTGACGTAAGTCGGATCCGCGTAACTCGGGGACTGCCTGTAGCACCTTCATCGGTGTGAGGTGGCCACTAAGTCTTGTTATTATGATGTTCCGCAGTAGCTCATTTAATTTTCATAGACCCTCTTAATAGGGATTGGCCATTTCCTTGACTGTGTTCGCAGGTTCAGAGCAAACTTACATAACACCTTTACAGTCTGGGATACAGACAAGACAAGTGAATTCAGGGCATGCTGTTACTTACAAGCATTCCATAGAGTCTAAGCCCCACAAAAATCCCAGTAGGTGTAATACCTCTCTTGAGCAATACTCATATACAAGCAGAGGTAAAAATGGGCTGGTACAGCGTACTGGGAAGAAAATGGCTGCTGGTACACAGATGACATTAGAGCACTGCTGTGGCATTGCTTTTAGAACTATACTGGACAGCCACCAACAGTCCCACAAAAGAGGCAGCTATACTGGGACCCAGCAACTTAAAAAGGTCCAGGGCTTCCAGCCACTGTTGTTGCTACTGGCCTTTTGAATTATTCCTAGAACCTCGGGTGGCATGTGCCAGGCAATGCTGGACCCTAGCTCTATCCTCTACCACCCAAGGCCTTGCCTCTTATGGCCCCCATACTGGTAAAAGTTTTAAATCACTCTCACACGTGTA